GTTTTCGTTGTTTTTATATGTGTAAAAAGGTTTTCGTTTTGTATGTATGCCTTAATGAATACTGCATGTAACGATGCAGAAAATATTCATGAGTACTTGCTACTTAGTGCTGTTACTTAGTACTAGCTAATACTTAAATACTCTGGTGTATTTAAGCAAACATTCTAGAAGACACTGTTCACTGAAATGGTTCATTCATTCAAGATACCATCAGGTGAAGTGAGACCAAGGTTCACAAAATCTTGCTTGAACAAATAAAAATGAAGTTGTTGAAATAGACGAAAACAGTACAAGTTAAATGGTTACTCCTTTTGAGTTTTTGATATCGGATTGAAGCGACGAATGCACTTCCGCTGAACATATTTGTAGGTGTCTGAACAGGCTTTTGTTCGGCCCTGCCTAGTGATACAGCTTTGAATCCATGCATTGCAGGTGCTCAAATACCATGGAGCCGTGGTGCTAAAATGGTCCCCTAGGCCACTAGAACAAAGGGAAGGTACTTACGCCGCCTCAATCCGGTATCAAAAACTCAAAAGGATTCAGTATCTTAGCGGCGGTATTAAAAACTAGCACTATGCTAGTAAACTCGTAAGATCGGGTTTTATTTTTCTGTTTAAATGGTTTCTTCTTATCTGTCTGTATGTTTTTGCATGGAATCACCCTAATGTCCGAATGGCGGATTATTCGGGTAGTGACGCTGGTTGTCTTTATATGTGTGATCAGTATAATTACGACAATTTTATATAATTTAAGACGTCTTATTCTGGAAATTCTTTTATCGGTCTTCCAGTGGCAAGATAAGGTACTCTGAGTAAAATAACAGCACAGCATCTTCGACAGTACTATTCTATGAATTTGAAGTGTGCAGTGTTGAACATATTGAGTATTCATCTGGGTCTGAGTTGACGGATAATGTGCACTAAAGACGGAAGGTAGACAGTGGTAGAAAAATTCTAGATGGCATTCTCTCCCTGCAAGTACTAACGTCGTTATAAAGGAGGTTCTGTGAAGATTTAGAAACACCACTTTTGCTGTTAACTGTTTCGAAAAAATGAGTAGTTGCGTGTTAGTAGATGCATGTATGCATTTATTTATATATGTTACTTACTGAGAGGCAGAATGTACTACTGTGAGTTAAAATTTTTATGCAAGCGGATTCTGTGTTTTGCGCAGACTTATAAGTCAGGAACTAGTGAATTTCTGTGACAAAGCATTTGATCCTTTATATGCCGCAAAACCAATATTTCACAACAACAATAGTTTGAATTTGATGGACAAAAATACCTCTCTTTTTCTGCATAATTTTCTGATGAATTAGTCATTTGTTTGCTGACAAGCTCTTGATTTCAGATTTTACTGAGCAACATGAAAGTACAACGTTTGGTTAATCTTTTTATCGACTGTTGATCATCTTCTTTGACACTCATCTGCTGTGGATTTTACAAAGATGGTAGACGTAAATTTGGTACGTTTTCCCACGATAGTATTACCTATTTTAGCGTACTGAGTAAGTAATTTTAGCCATTTGATCCTATGCTTAAAAAGAAAAAGAAGAAAAAGGATTTGGATCTTAACGCGGTGGAGGCTGTCACGATGGGTACACAGCCTGAATCTTTAGCTCAAACCGCGGCGACGGAGCGCGGAAACAAACTTGCAGCTGACGATACCCGCGCTGAAGGTAGCTGAACTCCAAATTTAAAATACTCGAATAATTGTAAAAAATTTAGAGGATACGAACGTCGATGTAGCGCCGCTACAAGACTTTGTGCATATGAAAAAGAAGAAGAGAAAACCAGCAGCACCCCTGCTGCCTGAAGAAGTAAAATAAATTATATT